TCAACTGTCATTTCTGTAGATTTCTCTGGAACATATCCTATTATCTCAGATAGGAAAATACTTTTAAAACTTGAATAAAAGGTGCAGTTATACCATTGGAAAAAAAAAAATAAAAACAACAAAACAACAACCAAAAAAATTTCCATTTTTTTAGTGCTGTACAACTGCTTACTGTAGATGGCTTGTTTAGGGTAATATACATTTCTATATACGGGGATAAAGACCACAAGGAGCAGACAAGTGCAACCCCAAGTTCAGCCTCCCCTTTCCACGGCCACCCCTCCGAGCAGCGGCCAAGAGCTGAGCTTTCCTACTAATGCCATCACCACTCCACATCAACGTTACCATCCGCTGCGAGGAAAGCGATAAAAGAAAATACCCGGCCTTTAATTGCGCCCCCCCACCCCCCCCGATTCGTCATCAAAACGTAAATTAACAGATTCCCTCAGAGACAGGGGAAAGAAAAAAAAAAAAAAAAAGCGAACAATGGGAAACACTTCCCTGCTGGTGCCCCACACGACCGAGGGAAATAGGATCCACCGCGCTGGGAGTTACTTACTGGGGATCAGATGCTGCTAAAAATACGGGAGCGAAGCGCGGGCGGCGGCGAGCGCGCGCGGACAAAAGGCGGGCAGGGCACGCGCCCGCGGTCCCCGTCCCGGAGCGTCACCCGTGCAGCGCAACGCCAGACGGTGATGTCACCGCGGGCAACAAAGGACGCGGCACCGGCCGGCCAGCGCCTGCCCTCCGCCGCCGGGACCCCGCGGCCGCCCCCTGCCCGGCACCGGCACCGCCGGTCCCGGCCCGCCGCTCCCCGCCGCCGGAACCTCGCCTCCCCCCGCTGCGAGACTGGAAGAGACAAAGCGGCTTCCCTACACCGCGCCCCCCCCCCCCGCCCCGGTACGCGTGAGCGGAAAGGGAGCGGTTCGGGCGGCCGCCCAGCGCAGGAGCGGCGGCGGGGAAGGAGGGAGGCAGCGGCGGCTCCGGGGCCGGCCCTCAGGGCGAGCGGCCTGGCGGCTGCCCCTCAGCCTCACCCGCTTCCCCAGGGCCCCGCCGACCCTCGCTGCCCGCCCCGCTTCCCCCGGGCCCTCCGGCCTCCGCTGCGGCGCTCCCCGGGGCCCCCCTCCCTCCCCTCTCCTACCTGATATGGCGGCGGCGGCTCCTGATCCGGCTCAGCTCCGTCCCCGTAGCTGGCTCGGTCCGACTGAGACTCGTGGAGCAGCGAGATGTCATCCGAGGTGGGGGACTTGAGGCAGTTCCCCATCTTCCCCCGCCTGGGGAGCGGGGCTCCCCCTCCGCCGCCTCCTCCTCCTCAGGGACGGACCGCCAGCCCCCGCCGGCGGCGGCTCCGCTCCCTCAGCCTCCCCGCCGCAGCGCGCAGCCCGCAGCCGCCCCGCCGGGGAGGCTCATGCCAGCCCCGGCCCTAAGCGGCTTAGCAGCAGCTCGGCTTCGCTCCGCAGCTGCCCCGACCCCCGGAGCCGGGGGGGGGGGGGGGGGCGGCAGGACTGGCCTCCCACCCCCCGTAGGGGGGGGGGGCGTGGGGCAGCGGGCTCCGGTGGGGTCCGCCCGCCCCGCGGCAGCCCCGACGCTGTTCTGCTTCCTGGTCACCAGCTCCCTGCGCACTGGGCTTTGTCGCACGGACCGCCCCGGCTCCTCCTCTCACTCCTCCCCGCCGGGCCAGGGTAGCAACCGCGCGGCCCCCCGGTGCCTTGCGCGGCCCCGCGGAGCCCTGCGCGGCCCTGGCGGGACGAGGCAAAGCGGGCCGGGATGGGGGCACATACACACGCACACGCACGACCCGTTCGGCTGCCGCCGCCTGCAGAGCGATGGGCTCCCCCCCGCCCCGGCCCCCAAAATGGTGGGTGCCGCTTTGCTCCACCCCCGGGAGCGCTTTGTTTTTGTTTGTTTTCCGGGCATGGCGGTGCGGAAAAGCCGGCCTGGGGGGGCGGCTGGGGGGGTCCGGCCGGCGGTACCGGGAGCTCCGGCCTCTCCGCGGCGGCCGCTGGGGCTCCCCCCGCCCCGTCCCGGCTGGTGGTGGTTTGTGTGAGGCCAAGGATCCGTCCCCGGCGTGTGGTTCGCCCCTGGGTTGTTGCTGCAGGGAGGAAGCGGGGTTCCTCTGGCTGCTTATCGCCGGCATTGCTCGAGTGGGCAGAGTTTGCAGTTGTAGGGGCAGTGCATTGAACCCCGAACGTGGAGCAGCAGGCGCGTATTGTATCACTTCTGTGTTTTTGAAGGTAGCCATTCAGGCTTTTGATCTGATAAGGAGATACTAAGATAAGCCGTGTATTTATTTTCTTTTTTTTCCTTCACCAAAATTTACTCATGCTGGGATATAGGTAAGTATAGATAAATGCAAATTTCAAGAGAGCAAATGCCCCTCTTTCACTGCGTCGTGTTTGTACAGAACCATGTAGAGGGGTATGACACTTTCTCCTTTACAAGGTGATCCTTCCAGTGTTCTTTCCAGCTTTGTCATCTGGGACAGTTCCTCAGAATCCCTCCTTGGCTTTCAGATTCAAACCATGGATTATATTTAAAAATCCATTTTTGTTACAGTATTTTTGTTAAAGTGGAGCAAATTCAGTGCAGATGAGAACATCTAGAAGGCATGGTCTGTAACGCAGTACAGTATGGACAGTGCTTACCACAGACTTCCCTGCTATTCCGTATCAGTCCTGGTTTACACTAGAGCTTCCACCTTGGGCCAAAGCATCTACAATCCAGTTGTCCATAGTGACATATTTGGCTCTACAACCTTTACTTAAGCATTTGAGGAGTCCTGTGGTAGACCCCTCAGCCTGGGAACAGACTTTTTGCTGATTATCCATATGAGTTCTTCCTTGAAGATTTCATTTAATTACTGTAAGGACTTTTGGCTTCCTGCTTATCAATGGATAACCTAAATAGCCCCAGTGTAAAATCTGTAGCAGTATAAAAGTTATTATTGACATTTATGGGGTTCAAACACAGCTTTAGGCTTTTCTAAGAAACTGATAATACAAATGGTTCACAAATCGTGAGCGTTGCTTGTGGTGGAGAGGCTTTGCAATGGAGTACTGTAAATAATAATGACTATTGGTACGTGACTTGTTCATTTGGATGTTTAGCCTATGAGTATGTTGACTTGGTTTAATAGGAGAATGAGGCAAGCAGCTGTTGGAGAGGATCCAGCCTCACCCAGTAATGATTTCAAGGTTAAGGCAATGTCAGAGCTCTCTGCTATGAGAACCTTGTGCTGAGGCTCCAGCTCTGTTACTGGTATTTTCAGTTGTGCAGTGGCAACATCAGGAACAAGATTACTGGCAAGTAGAAAGACTTCTTTATTCAGCTGTCATTTCATGGTTTGTTCTCTGTGTGGAGCTTCAGCCTGTGTTGGTGTAGCTCAATCTAGACCACAGGCATGGGCTACACTGCGTTGCAGTCCTGGTCCTGTACAGTGTGGAGGTCCTGTGGGAGCATATGGTGCCTCCCCACTGTCTGGCATGCCAAGATCTCCTTTCTTTGGAAACCAGCATGCAAACATGGGTTTCTGGTCTCATCCTCATATGCAGCTAGGACACAGGTGGGATATACTCTGGGGTCCCACAGTATAGATGTTGCATTTATTGACCTTGAGGCAGATCTCCAAAAGGAATAACTGCTAAGACCAGTTAAAACTTTCGCATTAGTAGGTACAGGATGCTCCAAATGTGGTCTCCATTTAAAAGATGGAGACTTGTCAAATGCCAGAAAAAGATCTGCTTTTCATGGTGGACTCACAGAGACCAAAGAGGAAGCAGCAGTTTGCGTTTGGCCTTGCAGTGTGTCAGGCTCTGCACCCCTGAGAGCTCTGGACGAGGAAGAGCTATTACCAGTCATTACTGCGTTCTTCCAAGTAGGAATGGCTTAAGCTACTTGTTTTTCTAATCCATTCACTCCTGTTATGTCAGGTAGGTGGTTAATAATGGCTTTGCACCACCAGCTCAGAACTTGTGTAGCGGTCCAGGAGAACGGAGGATGGAAAATTCTTGTGTTCACGAATGCACAGATGTTGTCTTTTAATATCCCTGCATATGCTGTGGTGTGATTGTGAGGCTACTCCTTTTGCTACCACATTTTTTGCAGCTTGAGGACAAGAAGGCAGCTCAAGAGCCTTTCAAGCTAGAGGTTGTTTGTAACCATTTGATGGGAGTCTTTTGTCCAGAGAACATGAGCTGTTTTCACCATTTCTTAGTATTAAGTTTCAGAAAATTGAACAGACCTGGGAGACTTCACTGCACCTGCTTTCCATAGATAATATTTGTAAGTACAGAGGCTGCTTAGAAGGATCTGCTTTTGTGGAAATAGACACAGAGGTGATCCTTGCACATGCAGAATAGTAGAGGTGACTATGGACTAAATAGAGTCTAGACCAAAACAAAACAGGCCCCTGTTTATGAGCTATTCATGCTGTAGGAGATCCTTGTTCCGTACAGATTTGGAGGCTCACAGTAGGTTTTATATGGTCTCTTTTTTTCTGAGAGGATGTGATGCACAAGTACAGTTTCTCTGTTCCAGCGTAACTATAGGACAGTTTAACTGATTGCTTCCATTTTATCTGTTTTTTATTTCCCCCACTTAGTTTGGGGAACAAGTAATTCTCAGACTGGATTTTCCAGAGCCTTAAAGTGATGCTATAGATGGAAGAAAGAGCCATGTAGTGGCTTAGGGCTGCATAGGTAGTACTGGTAAAAAAGATGAATGCAAATACAAAAATTTTTATCCGCCTAGTATCAATACAGAACTGGGAACCTAAGTCAATGAAACTTTTTCTTACCTGTAAACATTTGAAAAAATGGCTATAATCTGTTGTCAGAATGGAAATGGGGTAGTCTGAAATTTGCCAGCGTACAGGATTAATGTTCTGGTAAGTCTAGATACAGCAATCTTATACACAGGTCTGTTCTGACCACTTTTTGGCAGCTAGCATATTCTAAGTGAAATGTATTTTTAAAAACAAAATGGAAATTAGTGAAAAATGCTTTTAAAGGGTGCAAACAATAGAATGTTTTATTTTGGAGGTTTTTGATATGAGGGGAGACGAGTTACATAGTGCTGTATTCTTAAGGCTCATATGAGCTAGCCAGAGATGATGAGCTATCTTACTAAAAAATCCCTTTATCTTTGAGTTAAAACTCTAAAAAGCACTGAGGACATAAAAACTTTTTTGTTAATAGTTCCTCTGCAAAATTGAGATCATAAATTGCCTATATTTATAGATAAAAGACACTTTGGTGACTTCATTTTACATGATCCATGGTCATGATGTTGTTGGACAACATTTTGGGTATGTTTAATGTGTCATGCTCAACAAAAGCTTTTGAAAGATCTTTTCTGTCCTCATCACGGAAAAGTTTTTTTCTCTTCCTTCCATCATGCTTATTTTCCAGCACTTATCATCTCCTATTATGTCTTATCTTTCTTCTGGATAAAATTGTTTTTTCAATTCATATGCAGAAGCACAGTTAACCTCTGAGTGTAATCTTTCCATGCCATGGTACTCACAGGTTCTAAGATAGTGCTGTTTGCTCAGGTAATGTTGGCGAGTAAGACACATTACAATTTTAAAACCTTTAAATGGAAAAAAAGGCCTTGTATACCTCTGGAGAATGGAAGTAAATTACATTCTTCTGTTATATATGTGAATCTGATTATGGGAATGACTGAGTTAATTTATCTGGTTATAAAGAACATAGTATCTTCTAAAATGCACGTGATGATTATTAGTTTTGTTGATTTTAGCTGAACTGTAGACATTTCTCAGTATATATTACAATTTTATATTGTTTTCTTAGAGAGAGAGTGAATGCAGCACTAGAAAGCAATTATGGAACTAATAAATTTCCCTGAAAAGCATTTTATGATGCATCATTTTGCTGATATTTCTAAAAACTACTTAAACTTACGCTTAAATTATCCTGGTATCACAAATACAACTCACATCAATTTATCCCAAAGATACCATCTTGATAAGGATATATTTTCCATTATTGGCATAAATAAGTTGCCTTCCATAGGAGCTGTTTTCCCCAGATCCGGAATGTTTTATCACCAAGGAGAGTCACGCCTACCTACTCCATGTACTGGGGCACCTATACTGTATCTCACAAAGAAGAAGAATAACATGTATTTTGGCATTTAAAAAAGCAAACAACAAAGCAGACAGTCATCATACAAAAGTAACCTCTTCAAACAAACTCTCAGTCACCCAGCTTTGTGGTGAATTTTGTGTAGGAGTCGGTTTTCCTTTCTCAGTGTACCACATATCTCAACTTCAGTGTACCACAGTCTCAACTTCAAGAATGATCAGAGACCTAAAAAACATGATCTAAGAGAAAAGACTGAAAGAATTGGGGTTGTTTAGTCTAAAGAAAAGGAAAGTGCTGGGAAAAGTAGTAATGATCTTCCAAAATTTAAAAAGCTTCTCTCCAGAGAGAAGGAATACATTTTTATTCATGTTCAGTGGGTCTGGGGCAAGAGGTGATGGACTTGGAGTAGGAGATTTAAGATAGACATTAGGAAATTATTTCAAATTGCAAAAGTAGTTTTGCATTGGAAGCGATGACCTAGGAATCTTGCTTACTGAGGGCTTTGAAAGGCAGTTTAGGTCAAATGTTTTAGGAATGGTTTTAGTTGCAGTAGATTATATACAGATAACCCCAAAAGATTCCAGACTGGTTTATATTGTTTCATTTTTCTTGGGTGATTTACAACAGATGCATTACTGCTGTGTTATTTTAATTCTCATATTTCCTTATGTATATGTTCTTATATTTCCTTATATCCTTAGAAAATGCCAGTAAGAAGACATGACAGTAGGTGAAAAATTGGCTAAGTAGAATGTGTGGTGAAGTTCCCAGTAGCAGAATAGTAAGGCATCACAGTTACTGCAAGGTAACTGTTGTGTTTGAGTGGGAGTGTGACTTGCTGACACGTCCCTCTGACAGGGTTTAGGACACTTGAGTACCAGGCTGGCATTCAGCAAGTAGAGGATGTTCAATACACAGAAATCTATGTTTGAACTGAACATTTACATTTTAATTTAATTTTAATACATTTTAATGTCATTTTAAATTTTAATTGAAGTGTTGGTGTTTCTTCACTTTTTGCTGTGTGTAAATACTTCCTGAATTTGCAAGGAACGAGCTCTTTCCAGAGTTCACCAGTGTCCAGTTTGTTAGTCTTCAGGTACTGTCACTGCAGGTTTAGGGATATTCTGCCCAAGATGCGGGGAAAAGATAGATATTTTGAGTAGCAAGTTCAGAAGCCAAAATTACCTCAACTAATGAGGGATATGAAGTTGAACATGATATTGTTTCATCTGAATTTGACTTTTATCTTAGAGACTTTTTGTTCCTCACAGTTCACTACAACAGTATCCAAAATGCTCATTCCTCTTTCAAACAGAATTGGAGCATTTATCATTTGTCCAAGTTGAATATGTTTTCTACTGCACAACTTAAAACACCTCTTGTTCACCTTCTCCTAAGTTGTCTTGGGTTTTTTATTTTCACCATTTTTCCTGTAGCCTAAAATCTCTGTTTTCTTTCTGTAGGTAGCTATAAGTCTGCATTAACAGAGTGGTAAAATGATGCATGGGAAGATTCATGAGAACATATGGAATGTGACCCTCTGGCACACAACTCTGTCCCAGTCCAAGATCATCTATGTCTCTGTCATTCCTTGACAGAAAACTGTTGAAACTGTTTCTGGATACTGAATGATGTCTGTAGGTACTGTGTTCTAATCCCTTGCAATTTCAAAATTTCTCCTAATGCATAAGATTGCTACAAGTCAAACTCTTTATTACGTGTCCTGTCTGCACCACTGTGGTGATTTCAGATGTCTGAAAACTGTTACGCTGCTATGTTTAAGTCTTTCCCTATGGATCACGATTTGTAAATCTCTGATACTCTTCACCGTGATGCAGACTCACTCTTTGGTCCAATTTTTCCATAACCATGGCATCCAAAACTGGACAGAGCACTCCAGTTAAAAACTCAGTGTTGAGTAAAGAGAATATTATTTAGTATGTGCAAAAATGCCATTTATCAAACTTAGTGTCCTTCCTTTTTCATAATACAACATCATTGACTTCCGTTTGTAGCACACTGTCACTCCCTATCCTTCTCTGTGTAATTCCTGCCCACTCAGATTTTCTTATATTTCTCCAGATTATTATTCTGAAGGGTACTGTTTTGCAGTTCATGTTGAAACTGGTCTGTAACGGCTAAGCTAGCTGAATTGCAGAGGACAAGTTACTGGAGACTGAACAGAAGGAACATGAAGAAGGAACCACTGAAGATTTTGCACAAAAAGTGTTAGGTGATTGTGAATGACTGCCTCTGGCACTGGGGAAGAGTTAGTCTTTGGGAAATTAACTTTTCCATCTGCCCAGAAGTGTTTCCTCTTCTTAAGACTCAGTTTTACTTTTTGAATAGTCCATGTGTGTACACCCTCCTCTTGCAGAGAGAGCAGGCTGGAAATTTGTACCTGTATTTGCTTTTCCATGCTCAGACACTTCTGTTGTCTGATGGGATACTGTGTTTCCTGCAAAAACTTCTAGAAAACATCATGCAGAGAACAAGAAATATCATAAATTAAGTCTTCTTGATTTCTCTCTAGTACTATAAGAAGAGATACAAGAAGATAGTTGTACAATCCCGGTTAGTCTGTCCTGGTTTTGGTTGTGTGGAGATTCCTATGACATGTAAATCTCAATTGTTTAAGCCTACTTATATGACAAAAGAGGAGGGAGGCCTTTATTTTAGCAGAACAAATCACATACTCTTTAAACAAGAACAACTCTCACACTGAAACAAGACAGCTAAAGGTACTGTAAATATATCCCTATTTTTTTGAAAAAGTGTTTAAAAAAATTTGTGTATAATAAATTATTTTTCATTTGCTTTGAAGTGCATGCCTACAGTTAGTTTTTGCAACAGCAAACTTTTCCCTCTTTCAGTTAAGTCTGTAGAAATTACAGACTCTGTGGAGCTAATTTCTCTAACTTTTTTTTAGAGGTGTTATCATCTTAACAGGAACATCCTAACAGTGGACTTGTAGGCTGCTTTAGAAATTCATATATTAGGCTACATATTGACTTAGGAAATGTCTCAAAACAACATGTGCCTCATTTGGTGTTTTGGACTGCTCACTTTTCCACAAAAGCTCATGCAGAAGTAGATGACCTTACAGAATCTCTGCAAGACACTGGATGATTGTAATGGTTCATATTGCCGCTGGCTCATAAGCTGTACACCAGCACGTTGCAAGGGTTAAGGACCAGGTAGAATCACTTGCTGGTATTTTGATGCCCTGAAGGATTATTGATTTTGCAAAAGAAATGGATAGTGGGATGCCTTGTGAGGACTGTTCCTGTGCCAAAATTTGAAAGTACGGGCTGAAGGTGTTCCTGTCAACTATGATGCCATTCATAGCTTTTGCATCAGAATCTTAAATTTGCATACAAAGATCTCTGTTGTAGAAGCCCCATCTTGTGGACAACCAATCGATGACTACTTCAGCACAACAGATCTGAGATACTTAGAAAATCTGAAGATATTTTGGTAGTCTTTGCAATAAACTGTAGAGTCTTCATATTGCTGGACAATATGGAAACTTCATTCATGTGCAGAAATCAGCATATGCTTTTGGAGACTTTTTCCACAGGTAAGAAATAGTGAATTGTAGAGAGGTGATAAACAGGGATGGAAATAGGATGTTGTTCTCAGAACTCTGTTTTAAATCTGAATCAGCTAAAACACTAACAAGCCTGACTCCTGCCTTGAATTCCCAGAATAGTGTGCTGTAGGATTTGTATAGTATAAATGAGTCTTTGGGTGGCAAAATCATGTAAGGGCAGAAGGACATTCTCTGAAAAAAGATTATTAAGACAATAGAAAAGCATGTATGAAAACTCATGCATATCTGGAATATGGAAACTTTGGGAATATCCGTAAAGAGATACTTAGTTTCAGGACAAAGTAATGGAAAAGGGCAAGCAACACCAGACTCAGTGAGTCAATGCACTTGGTCGGAAGAGTGTTAGGAAGATAAAAGGAGCATGAAAACAAACCTGTGATAAAAGCTATTTTCAAATCTCAGTATGACAGTAGTAGACTATATTGTATATATTCTATAGAATAATATATACATATAATTAGAATATCTTTTTGTCACTCTGAACAAACTGGGTTACTATATGATAGTTTTCTGTTTCTTCTATATGAAGAAAATAGGAAACTATATGATCGTTTCCCATTTAATAATAAAGGCTGTAATAAAGTAGCCAAAAAGTGTAGCGACATCTAGGGAAAGTTTGGCAGAAGTGCCTCCGCGCTGAGACATCTGTAGCTCCATTTTTTTTTCACTTCTTAGGTTGGCATTTGACAGTTATACTCCATTCAAAAAGAATAATGTCTTGAGCAGCATAACCTGTTGAGAAGCAAACAGAATGAATATGAGAATATGACTTTTAAGGTTTTGGAATTATCCCAGTAGGAATTTTGAGTGGCATTAGTAGAAAAGAGCTATTCTTCACTGAATTTGCAGGTTAGAGCTGTGTGAATTTAAAGTAGGAGATGGGTATGTGCTTAAGTCTAATCTGCTCTTTAAAAGACATCCTACATCTCTAACAGGAAATGTAACCACTTTTTTTTCTGTGAAGATGGTGTACCCAGGGAAAGTTTGGTTGAAGTGCCTTGCTTGTAAGGGATGACAAGAGTAAAAAGGAAGATGGTGTATGAATAGGGTGCCATACCAACCCCTTTGTTGGGAGAACAGAGGTTGGTATTTCTACACGTGGATATCTGACTAAGCATGGTGATTAAAAAAGAGACAAAAGTTCATGATCTGGATATCACAAAGCCAGGAATTTCCTAGTTCTTATCAAGAGGAGTCTTCACTTTAAAGACATACCAGATACAGTATATTGTAATACTTAAAATTACCTGTTAATGTGAGCATACATCTGCCAGTTTACAGTTGAGTTTAAAGTGACTGTTTACTTTATATTGAATCTAAAGACTTAGATTTTCATCCTTCAGTAGTCTGGGAGTTTCATAAACACAACTCATTCATAACATAAATAGATCTAAAAGAGTCACCATTCTTAATAAATTAACAGATGAAGCTATAAATGCACATTACCAGCATATTATTAAAAAACTCACAGAAGTGCCTGTGGATACGCAGGAGTTCCTGACTGATTCCTTTTGTTTCTCATAGAAATCGAAAGCCTCTTTTGAAATAGAATTCTACATTTTTGGTGAAAGGCATCTGCGAGGAAATGTCTAAGCCAGGGGAAATCCTTTGAGAAAAATGTATATTCTCAATTTTTACCTCAGTCTTCTCCTTAAGGAAGGGAATATTAAAACTTTAGCAATACACGGGACTACAATTTTTACCTAAGAGCAAATTCTGCTGGAACCAGCATGTGCAATAAAAATCAAAATCATAATCTTTCTTAGTGTGAAATGAAGCCATGAAAGGAGCTTTGTGACTCTCTTCTGTGGAAGGTGTTTCTTCCTCAAGAGGCAGGGAACCGCGGATGCTAGTTCACCCCTCAGGGGAAGAGCATATGAAGTTGGAACAGCTACTTAGAATTCCCTGCACTTAAATAATGAAGCATGAACAATTCAACAAGGGGAGTACAGACAGATATTAGTATGGTGTGAAATCCAGAGAAGAAGCTGTAGCCTAGGAAAAGAAAATTAGTATGTAAAGCTTGTAATAAAAGGATGTTGGAAAGCAAGAATTTATTCCAGAGGTGCTCAGTGAGGGAATAGTGATTGCTCAGAACCCGTGTTCCACCAAGTGAATTCATTGTAGTGCTGAGAAAGGGCAAGCTCTGGTATAAATCATAGAATCATAGAATGCTTTGGGTTGGAAGGGACTTTAAAGATCATCTAGCTCCAACCCCCTGCCCCGGGCAGGGCCCCTTTCCCCCAGCCCAGGGGGCTCCCAGCCCCGTCCAACCTGGCCTTGAACCCTTCCAGGGAGGGGGCAGCCACAGCTGCTCTGGGCACCCTGGGCCAGTGCCTCACCACCCTCACAGGAGAGAATTTATTTCTTACATCTAATCTAAATTACCCTCTTCCAGTTTAAAACTGTTACCCCTGGTCTTATCCCTACACCCCCTGAAAAAGAGTCCCTTTCCACCTTTCCTGTAGCCCCTTTAAGTACTGGGAGGCTACTGTAAGGTCTTTCCAGAGGCTTCTCTTCTCTTCTGGGATGAACCCCCCCAACTCTCTCAGCCTGGCCTCCCAGGGGAGCTGCTCCAGCCCCTGATCATCCTTGTGGCCTCCTCTGGCCCCGCTCGAGCAGCTCTGTGTCCTTCTGATGTTGGGGGCCCCAGAGCTGGACCCAGCACTGCAGGGGGGTCTGACGAGTGGAGTAGAGGTGGGGAATCCCCTCCCTTGCCCTGCTGGCCATTCTTCCCTTGGCGCAGGCCAGGACACGGTTGGCTCTCTGGGCTGCGAGCACACATTACTGGCTCAGAGTCAGTTTTCCATCCACTAATACCCGCAAGTCCTTTGCAGGGCTGCTCTCCATCCTCACCCAGCCTGGATTTGTGCTTGGGATCGCCCTAGCACGTGGGCAGGACCTTGTACTTGGCCTTGTTGAACTTCATGAGGTCCCTCTGGGTGGCATCCCTTCCCTCCAGCATGTCAGCACACCACACAGCTCGGTGTCATTGGCAAATCTGCTGAGGGTGCATTCAATCCCACAAAAACTTTACAAAAACTTTAAACAGGACACATAGGGACAGACTATTTCCTTACTCTGACCAGAAGGATCTAGAAAAAGATGCTGTTGGTAAAAGCAGGTCCGGAGGAGTATAAGATAAGGGCAAGCATTCAATGATAGTTTTTATATTAGATTGAATTACAAATTATAGTTGCATGTATATGCCCGTATAAGAAGGAAGGAAACTGATGACATCAAGACACTGAGGAGTAATCTGTTGTACATTCACCTGATAATATGCATGATAAAATGTTCAGTTGCAGTGTATTATAAACAGAGTTAATTGATAGAAATTGCAGAGTAATATGAATCTCTTGTACTAATAGATTTTATCAAGAAAATACAGCAGGACTGGAAACTCACAGTGTAAGTGTAAACTTGCAGTAACCCACTGGCAGAAGAGTTGTGTAGGTGTATAAAATTGATTTGAAAGGGAATGAAGAGGTGTGACTTGTGAATTGCTACTTCTTAAAGATAAAAAAATAATATACATATAGGTTGTTTAAAAAGTTAAGTCTTCATCCTTATCTCTTTATTTTGCACATTTTTGCAAACGTTTTCTGTGGTTGCCTCTAGCCTTTCTACTATTTTAAGTCTTACCTATTAAATTTTTATTGATATGAAAATTTTGAGATGTAATAATACTGATATATCAAGTGATTTAGCATTAAAAAAATAAAGATTTTCAATGGCCATTTGAAAACAAGGCTTGATGTGTTATGTTACTACAAAATTAAATATTTGCAGTGAACTCTGAGCACTCGTGTTCATAATAGATGAAAGTCTTCTCTTAAATCTGTGTCTCCATAATGACAGTTGAATATTCCAACTTTGGTATATAATTTTAGCATAGTACTTTATGTTTGATTTTCAGCAGTGTAGGTTTTTGCAGCTAGGTGGCTTATGCTTTGAGTGGATTCTTCTTTTTAATCAAAAGGAGGAAAGCTTTTGCTCTACCTCTTTTTAAACTCACCAGAGCCAATCCTTCATACCAAAGTTCATGTTTTATTGACCAGACAGTGTTTTGTCTTGGTTAACTTCTGTGAGGATACAGTGCTGTAGAAACTATTAAAGAGCTATATTGATGTTACTGTAGTATTTTACCAGAATAGTTAAAGTATACAGTTCGTTACTTGCATTTTCATGTCTGTGGTATCAGCCTGTTCTACTTCTCTGCAGCCATACTGTCTCTGCCTTGTGTCCCTTCCTCTTCCAGCCCTGTCCCTTTCTCCAGAGCTGTGGCGATGCCACATTGCCGTAACCCCACTGTCACGTGCATTAATCACCACCATAGGATCCAGTTCCCCAGAGACAGATCCTGGTCCCTGTGCATAAACAGATCAGCAAGGTAAGGAGAAGGAAAGGCCCCTGCCATCACCAAAGACAACTTGAAACTCTTCCGAGATTTGTCCAAAAGGTTCAATAATTCTACAGTTCCTTATGGTAAGACGCTTTTTCTGGTATTAATGTTGTGAACACTCTGAAATGGCATCAGCTATTAGTTACTGTCACAACTTTTAATTCTGTGTTTCTGTTTCAAATTTTCCTCAGTTCAATCAGAACCAAAAGTTAATGCCCATTGGCTAATTTCCAGTGCATGCCTCCACAGAACAACTGTTGCCTTTAAGTGGTAGAGAGATCAAGGCTTGAACTGACAAAAGACATCTGTATCTTGGAAAACAAATTAATGCTTATGTTTTAATTTATATGTTCCTGGCTCTTTTATGGTTCCTGCTTTTCAAGTAATGTCTCCTTGGATCCCTAGCTGATGGAGAGTCAAAATGGAAAAGGCCCATGAGAGAATTATCACAATACAACATCTGGTCTGCATTGGAAAAAGCTGAGAAGGATATTCAAAATCTCTGAGACCGAGAGGCAGCTATGAGGCACTTTGAATGTCAGGCTATGAAAAATTGTGCAGGTTGCGGCCACCTGGGCCAATCTAGTGTTGTTTTGGGAAGAGCTACTCTGCTTCCTAGCATCTGAATTTTAATCTCGCCTCAGCACAGGTATGTGAGAGCTGGGAGTGGTATGAAAGGTGTTTGCTTTTCATAATGTTAATCTGAATCCCAGCATTGTCCTAATTATATTGTGGGTTGTTGCCAGTCTCCCAGTTTTCTTTTGAGCATGTCAGCTGAAAGGTCGAAAGGCTTTCCCAGGGCTTTTGGCATAGCTTTATACGAAAAAGAGTGGAAAGGACTTTATGTATTTTTGGAAGATTATTTTGCATCCTGCTTTAAACTATTCCAGAAGGTAAAAGGACATTAGCTAGACTGTGTATTGGCTCGTGTACTGGTATGTTGCTAATGGCAAGGAGTTTTGCTTTGCCTAATTATTCCTGGTTTTTGCAGTCACACACTATGAGAAATGCAAAGAAATGGACCAACCTGGGCAGTAAGGGTACCACTGCATTCAGAGGAAACAAACTCCTTACACCATATGAAACTTTGGTCCTTTAAGTCATCATAGCTCATACAGAACAGAAACAATTTGATATGTATAACAAGAAACACTGAAAATTGTTTGCCAAACAAAGGCATAGACTGCAGATGGAAGAACTGATTAAAATTGTTTATAGATGGGGAACTAAATGTAGATTTTTCAAGAACAAGGTTGCTCTCCTCCCTGCCAAGACAAACAAATCTGATAGAACATCTCATTGCTTTAGGCTGCCTGAGGACCAACTGGAAAGTCTAAGGGCCTTTCTCCACAGAAAATTTGTGTATTGTCGGTACAGAAGTGTGCTGTCTGCAGTTGCACTGTGGCAGCTGCAGAGGAAGTGGAAGATTCTCAGGAATACATGAGGGAGAATTGGATTTTTGGCTCCTGAAACAGTGTGGAGTTTGGAAACTGGAAGTTTGAGTTGGATGTTACTGCTATAAAAGGTTATCTGTGAGTTAAACATAATAGTGATTAATTTGCTATCTTTAGCTCTCAGCACTAACAACATGATGAAATAGAGAATTCCTGTTCTCTAGAGTTGCAGTTTTCCAAGATGCCTTCATTCCTACAAAGTTACCTGGATTTGCACTGTTATAGGTTTTCAGTGTTACCTTTAGAAATCTGTGCACAGATGTTTTTACAAGGCAGTATATAGTTATCCCAAACAACTGGTTTTAATGGGCCAGTTATTTGGGAAAAGCATCAATAAGAGCATAAATACAATCCCCAATACTGACATAAAACATATATTAGCAGAATAATATCAGTTGTATTTCACTGATATATAGCAGGCTGTGGAAATATAAAACTAATCATGTCTTTCAAATTCTGTTATATCTGTAAACATATATATTGGAAAAGGGGGCCAGCAGCATCCTGGGCTGCATTAGGAAAAGCATTGCCTGAAGGTCAAAGGAGGTGATTATTCTCCTTTACTCAGCACTAGTGAGCCTTCAGTGGGTGTTCTGTGCCCAGTTCTGGGGTCCCCATAACAGGAGGGACTTGGACACACTGGAGCAAGTGCAGGAAAGGGCCATGAAGACTGGAGCATCTGTCATAGGGTTGCCCAAAGAGGCTGTGGAGTTGGCATCCTTGAAGATTCTCAAAACCCAACTGGGCAAGCTCCTGAGCAGCCTGCTCTGTGTGATTCTGCTTTGAGCTGGAGGTTGGACTGGATGATCTCCTGAGGTGCTTCTGACCTCAGTGATGTTGTGAATATTTGAAGCCGTTCACTTATGTCTTGTCAGCATTTTAGCTGGAATGTGACTGTGTAGGAATCCTACAGAAAGCAAAGGCTGTGACCCTAGAAATAAATCCAGATGACTGAGGCCCAGAAAAGGCATGATGGGAGCTGCTAAGTATTTTGTCTCATCAGAGTGCTATTTTACTTAAAAATACAAATATAGAAGTGACTTGGGTCTTACTATCAATGACACTGAATATCCATAATGATCTCTCGCTTCAGCTGGACTGCAACCTCTATCTGAACACCTATTTTAGTTTAGTCTTGTTCTGGAAAATCTTACCATATACTTTACTCTGGAAATTAATGTTTGGTGCTTTATGGTGCAGAATTCATTTCATGGTTTGTTACATGCTTTCTTTCCTTACTAGTACTGATATTAACAAATTGCAATGTATTTTGACATATTACTTCAGCACATAGTATGTCTCAAGGAGTTGAGAATATCATAATTTGAGCAAGGTAAAACATATAATTACATTGCATATTCTGTGGCACTTTGTAACTATTCTTACAGCACCTTCAGAATAAGAACAAAGATGAAATTAAAAAATGGCTTTCATATTTTAATGGACACAAGATTTATATGTAAAGGCAAAGATAATGTATCTTTTTAGATCAGCTGAATGGTGCTATGAAGATTTATTTACCTGTGTTTTTTCATCGTGAAAAAGCCAACGTGCAGTGTTGAGAATTCCCAGATCCTCTTTCTTTTGAAAACTCTTCATCTTTCATATTGCCTCTAAGAAAAAGGGAAAGCACTTTGGAAAACAAGAAATTGAGGAATGTTGCACAAAGAATTAGGAAATAAATAGATTATAAAGCATTTGATTTTTTTTTTCACTTCAGCAAATGAAACAATAAGTAAACAACCTGTTTCTTTGTTATCAATATATGGAGTCACGTTGGATATGGTAGGCCAAGATATAAATGTATAAATAACACCTGTGATAAATACTAGAAGACATCAAATTTTGCTGTGGATGAACCCATCCTGAAACCACAAAATTAAGTCTTCAGATATAAATAACATATGAAGGTCAAATATACTTAGTCATGAGTTGCCATCTTCTGCCACTGCTTTTTCCTGACTTAACGCTTTTAGAGCGTCTGTTCTCGGATTGCAGTAGTCTCTGCGTGGGATGGATTTTCATGCAGAGTATTACTTTTTTTTTTACTTTTATAAATTTATAACCTATTATATCTATCCAAGGCTGGCATAGCTCCAAGTCACCCGTTTCTCAGTAATACAGAAAATTAATGTCTAATAAACATAGAGGTTTATGGAACCTTTGTTTGATGAAAAGAGTGTTAAATAACATATTAATATTGCCTTGTCTTTTGATAGCTAGAGCTGTGCTCTTTGTTTTTCTGTAGACCAGATAGGTTTTGCATTTGGACTAGAGGAGTCTGGGTTTATCCATCCCTTTCTGCAAACTTTCTGAACATCACCTCGATATTCTTCTCTTGTTGAAAGGACCCTCTGAAACTTTCATGTCTAAGGTTTGGTGCCCTTCTCCACTTCTCCCTGTGGTAGGAACCCCCTTTTTTTCCCTGACACCAGGGCTGTGTACCCCATAGTTTTAGCCGGGGGGTGCTGGCTGCTTTCTCACTCTTCCCAGGATTTTCTCCAGCCTGACCCATTTTCTGTTAATACCCACTGCAGTTCTGTGTCAGTGGGTATGGCATTTGAAAATGCAGAAATCTGACTTTAAACCATACAAACTAGCACCATAATTTCAGGGGCTTGTCTCCTGCATGTATCAGTTTAGTAAGTGGATTTATACTGAATAATTGTAAACTGTTACAGCCCTCTGAAACTTTCTGTCTAGCTTCTGTAATAAGTAAAGTGACATAAGGTCACTGATGCTGTGGAAATTGGTTTTGCAGTTGATGTGCTAATTCAGCAAGAAATCAGTTGTTGCAGAAACCCAAAGAAAATTATTTTAATATAGTACCATGCTACTCTGCTGACTTTCAGGAAAGAGATAATTAAAACATTCAAGAGCGTTCCCAGTTTCTAGAGAAGATACTATTATGGAAATATAAGGTTATTTTTACCACACAGTTTATTAGCTTATTTTCTAAAAGCAAATCCACTGAGTGTGATGGACACAAAATAACATTCTCACCTGCTCAAGAAGATTAGAAAGAAGATATTTTTATAAACTGAGGTTAATATAAGAATGGACTTGGCACAGTCTCTTCTGTGTCACTCACCCCATGTTTACAGTAACCGCTGCTGCAATTTTCTGGATGAAAACTTCCATCCAGATACATCCAAGGCCATTAATAAGTCTGCACTAGTGCAACTGATTGCTATGAGGAATAGAATTACATGGATGGTGCCTAAGGAGGAGACATTGTTATTTTCTGCTCAAACTTTCTTTCATTAATCACAACGTTCTTTTGGCCCAACCATCTCTCAAAAGTTTTCTCAAATGCTAGACCACTTCTTCTAAGAGTTGCCTTATGTGTCAAGCAAGCATCCCCATAAAAGTTTGTTAACTACCTGTATTTATTAATTTTGTTCAATTTAGTGAACTCTTATGTTTGCTGTAACACTCCAGTTCGAAACAACACAAGGGCAGTGAGCAGTTGTGGAGCAGCCTCTGAGGCTGCCAGCCAAAAAAAACTTGATTTACTGGTTATTTCTATCACTATAATGATTAATTGGGAAGAATTTGTGAATGCACAAATATCCGGAAAGAAACTTGTGTAAACTTCATTTAAAAAATAGATACTGTCTAACAAAGGAAAAAAAAGTAATCAACTGAGACAGCTACTTAAAAGAAGTTTTCTCAGCTGAAGGCTGCAGGGTTTCCATGCCTTGCTTTAATAGTTACATATTTGACAAAAGAGTTAAACTAGAAACAGAAATGCTCTGGTGGGTGAACTTCCATCTGCTACTAAGGAGAGTTCAAGGAGGGACTGTAGTATGGTCAGTATTAGTTGAAGGGCCTGCAGTATTTGGGCTGCAGAGGTCCGTATTTGAAGAAAAGGCATGATATGAGGGGTCTGTGCCCAAAAACTATGCCAGACACAGAAGCTGTTCATCCCAAGCAGGGTTTATGCATGTCAGATCCCCAGGCAGAGTTCAGCCCAGTCCATTGACAATCCAAGAAGGGAGGAACTTGGTCCGAGTTGTCGTCTTCTCCACCTTCGTTTTATGCTAGTGTCAATAGCAAGTTGTATGCAGGTAGTTTTCAAAGAAATGGAAATGGAACATGCAATTCAGTGTTTAATACTATGCTTCCTGGGCTTACTCAGATGTGCACACATGGGATGTATATATACTGCACACAACTTGGAGATCTCCTTCTGTTTAAAATTCTGGTTCCTCAGTGCTTTACTGATTTTCCGGTATAGCAGGTCAAGTACTCGTAACAGTAACACCCTGTTACTTCAACTCTGAAAGGTTGTTCTGGGAATCTAATGGCCAACAAAGTGGAATTTAAATTTATTTTTTGTTTTGTTTTGTTTTTCAGCAAGCATTTAAAAGATCCACCAATTCGTCTCTGTCAGAGATGATTTTTTTTTTTGGCTTAGCTTGGACACTAATCTCACTGTTGAGTTTACATTTATGGAGTAGGACCTAAGGTTTTCTCCATGTGTTCAGCATTATGGTTCTGACTTGTAAGTATTGTTACTTGGGATACTTGCACAAGTCATGTCTGTTTACATAGCAACAACGGAACTGGGGTTCAGGTGCTGCTAGTTAATCAATCAAGAAGGAACAAAAATAGTTTTGAAGGCTACCATGCTTCTTGGATGATGCTTAGAGGAGTTGGTAAAAACTGCAAATACAGCTGATGGCAATGTTTATTACACATTTTATTTCCAAGTGTTATTTTAGGAATCAGTTTTTGAATTTAGTTATTTTACTCCACTTTAGCAAATCATGTGTGAATGTAGTTGTTTTTCTGAAATGCCTGCTCTGTTTTAGTTGCTTTTGTTGCCACTAGTCAACTTTTTTGGCAGTGCTAGGTTAATGGTTGGACTTGATCTTAAAGGTCTTTTCCAACCTAAACAATTCTAGGATTCTATGATTTTCATTCCATGTAGTAACGTCCACAAGGTGGTGCCACAGCTAAAAAGTTAGCAATAAATAAGACAAATATAATTTGATAATTCTACCTGCTTTTTATAACTAAATTACTTACATCATTAAAGAATTAATAATTATTTTATACGCATAATACCTGTGTTTCTAATTACATCACAGGTTTGCAAGCTTTGTTTTTTAAATTACTTGTGTAAACTAAGCTGGGTCTGTCTGCTGTCTGGGTGCGAACAACTCCCACACACCTGTGACAGTCCAAAAAATGTGTACAAAAATTCAGAGACAGCTCATGGTTAAGCAGATGGGCTGATGAAGAATGAAGAGCTGGATCTGTAGAGACTAACACCAGCAGAGCTGTGTGTGTCCTAGCAGGGTCACTGGTGCAAACACCATGTCCCACAGATGTGTCTTCTCATGGAGAGCACAAGGAGATGTATGCCTAGGTTGCTTCAGCAGTACCGCTGGAGCCAACCTGAATCTGGACAAGCAGAATAATTCATCCTCATCTTCAGCTAAGTCAGCTTTCATGTAGTGACCCTAGTGTGGCTATGGCACATTGTAGCCTAATTTTCAGAGTTTTTTTCTACAGTCAGGGATAGCCAGGCTCTCCATTACCCTGTCATATGATAATGTACACTTGACTATTAATTCCAAAGGGGTATGAAGTGCTTACAAAGGGACCTGGTGTGAGAGCAGCTGGATTGGCATATACAGGTAAAATTTAGTTGTAGTCTTTTTTCTTCAATCATGGTTAAAAAGGCAGCCATCCCAAGCTTCTGGGCATCTTTCTACACAAGATCAGACTAGAGAAAGTAAAAGGCAATAACAGGAAATGTAAAATGAGTACACGAATTAACCGCCCAGTAGAGGAAAGACAATAAAACTTAGAAGGAAAAAGTTCTTTGTATGGATCTGAATGGCTACACTGTTTTATAGCAGACTTGCATGTCCCAGAAGACCTGAAGTACAGAGGGGCTTGGTCATTCCTCTCAGCACATGTGTTCAGTTCTTCAGCTACCCTTGGCCATGTGGCCATGGTTGCTTCTTGCACTCCTGCCCTGCTCCCTGCCATGCAGATGTGCATGCTAATGCAATGAATATTCTCAGTGAGCTTCTGCAATGAATGCAGGTATGCATGCTAACACAATTAATATTCTCTATGAGCTTCTGCAATGGATAGATTAAGTTTGAGTTATTTATTCATCACATTATTTTGTACCAAAAGCAGCAAGAAACAGGGATAATTTTAAATACCTTTCAAGGAAGCACTACATTGATTGTCACTTCCTGCTAGAATCTTTTTTTGGTATGGTAGACCTGTATCAGAAAGAGAAAAATAACAGGTTTAGCATAATATATTTTCTCTAAATTGATATATTATTATTTTAAAACATACTAAAATTATAGTGGCTTGTAAGAGACTCAGTGGAAATCACATATATCCATGAAAGGTGGTCCCCCAGCTATAAAGCAGAATGAGAGTTAGAGGCTTATTGAGTCCAACTCTGAAAGTTGTCAATTATCACAACTGCCACCTCTTTTTTTTAAAAAAAAAAAAGGATCATATTTTAAAATTATGTTTTTAAGTGGTTTACAGTATTTTAAAACTTTGTATTGGTTTTAACATCTGTTTGGAAAAGTCAGAATCAGAGAACTAATTAAAAATACAAAGTCCCTGAACAGGTCAATTAGATCTAATTTCTGAGTCAGTCAGTTAGAGTATGCCTGTAAGATTGTTCTGAGTGTATGGCTGCAGTGTGTGTTGCAATTAAAATGATTTATTTCTGACTTAGTTTGGACTTTTCTTTTTGTCTGACTTCATAAAATTACTTTCAAAAATATATATTTTCAGATATTTTACGTAAAGAAGTGATGCTCTATTCTAAAGGGAATGACAGAGCATCTGAGATCATGCATTTGAGTCTCCATTGTATGTAAAACCCAGGTATGCATTATTTTAGTAATTTAACAACTGAATGGAAATCCTAAACATTTGCCCTTGCAATGTTTGCAATGATTTTGCATTCTTGTTGGAAAATCCAGAAGCATTTTTAAAACATCAAAACTGTCTCTCCTCTATGTCTGGTTTTCTGGTTTCTCATTTAGGCAATCATGAACAAAACATGCTTTAGCTCTATGTCTATACTTAAACCTATATATAGATGCCATTAAATATTAGAAGGAGGTAACTTCCAGTAGTCTAAGTTAGTAGTCAGTCTGAGCACGGCTCAGAAATCATCCTGCAGATGCACAGTGTTAACCGGAAACAATTTAGAATGGCAGTGGTATCCTGCAGGATGTGTGCAATTCATTCAGCTATGTGTTGATTTACACAGGACTACATTATAGATTATACATTCTGGTAATTGTGGTATTGTTATTGCTAGGCTATATCTAAGCACAGGAAATACATATAAGCACATTTGAAGTGATAACATCCACTTCTGTTTAAAAAGCAGTATTTTATTCTTGTCGAAAAACTCACACATAATGCACCATTTGCAAGATAAAATAGACAATTTCCTAGTTAGTACTTAGCAAGACTTTTAGGAAAAAAAGATGATTCATTATGGAAGGCCCATAACCAGCATTTACAAATAAATCCACATGAACTTAATCACTTCAAAAATGGTTTTTCGGTATGGACTCTAATCTAAGATTAGGAAGGAGACAGTACATTTCCATCTGAAAACACAAGAAAGATCAAAATAAATTTTCAGTGTGTCACCAAAACCACAGTACTGGGTTTCTGTTAAGGAGAATTAGTAATACCATTCTAGCTATGTAGAATGCTGTGATTGGGTAATAATTCCATCTAACTGATAGGGCAGATTATGTATTCTGCAAGAAAACTATCCCATCTAAGATCTTGCCCTTTCTTCAGCTCAATAAGAAAGCCTACCCACCACACCCATTTACCTGAAGTCCCTTTATGCCTGTTTATCTAATATCAGGATTTGGGAACAGACCTGTTCTCCATCCAACACCCCCAACCCTGTCTTGCAATTTGGGAACAGATTGACTCCAAGCTTGACTTGAAAAGAGGCATCTGTTCCTGCTGCTGCTCCCAGGATGTGGAATTTGGGTTCATCCCCAGCTCTGCAGCTGAGAAAGTGTACGTTGAGGCCCCTCTCAGAGCCTCTCTCACCATTTCGCTTTAACAGTGTAGGCTTCAGATGTGTATATGTGCTTAGGAAAATCACTGATCAAGTCAGGGATCTCTGAGGTTCTCTCCTGGAAGCAGGTATGGATCTGTCCAGAAGAGGGAGGGAATTTCCATCAGATTTTATATGCCAACCTCTTCTCCACAGACAACACTAGCATATTATGTATGCTATGCCTATTTCTTTGTTTTGCCAGGGAAAACAGATCAAAATTGGTATAAAGTTTCCCTCTTGTTTCTCACAACAATAGAAAATCATGGAAGAGAAAATAAGATTTAACTTTATGGAATGATTAGATGATATGATGTTCTCTCAGAAGACCTTCCAGCAAAAGAGGGGTGGGGAGGTTAGTGTTATGAAACATTCTTGCCTGTGTTAATGCATGAAAAAATTAACAGTAGAACTGTAAAGGATGAAGTTATGTTTAATTTTAAATACGATCTTCAGTATTTTCCTGAATTGGAATCTCTGTCCCTAATTTAAACTTGTAATACCCTCTTTAACAAAGGTGCAGCTTCAGTAGGGCTTAGAGTACTTAATGTTATGTAAGTTTTCAAAGTTTGTTGCTGGGATTGAGGTTTTAAAAGCAAAGGTCAGGTAAAGATCCCTTCTTGGAACACACTAGGATATGAGCCCCTATGTTTATTTTTTTCCTCATAAGTCTACTTATTAAATAGGCCGATAATAATTTGCCTTTAATATATTTGTGTGAGTTGTGGGAAAGGAACAAATATATATATTCTGCTGAACAGCACACCTAACACAGCTGCAGCGTGTGTGAATCTTTCTGCAGTACATTCAGATGTTGGCTTTCATTAAGCAGTAAGAAATGTTGCCTGCAAAAATACCTTACAACTTCAAAAGTTATTCTAATGCCTGTCTATTCATCACTCTTTTACATGACATCAAAATCATTGTGTCCTTTCTTAATCATAACTATGGAGGATCAATTACAATGGAAATTAAAATACCAGACTGTGCATGCCATATGATTTGTAATTAGCTCAAGATATCTAGAGGAAATTCTGTAAGTTACTTAGTCTCTTAATTTTGCCTTGTCTTAAATCTGTCTAATTTTGTTCAAATTCATAAGAGCAACTAGTCACTGAATTTTTAGTGGAAATGTATATGTTTCAATTGAAGTGCTCTAAAGAGTCCTCCTTAAAATCCCATGAGTTCTCTCACTTGCAAGGGACCATGCAGAGCCCTGGAGCCCTTGTGACTGGTGGATAATTCAGAAGCTTCCTCATCTTTCTTGAAGAGTATGACATAACTCTAAAACACCTGAGATATCTTTAAGGCTTAGATATTTGGGTTAAATATCTAAAATATAAGTTTCTTAAGCATTAGAAGACACTAGAGTTTAAAGATCAGACTGAGCCATGCCTCTTGCATCTACTTTAACAAAGCTGTCAGGATGCTGACCAGCTAGCCTGCCAGATGTGCGCTTCCATTTTTTAGGTAAGTAATCATATGGGCCTGGGATCTACTGTACAAGCTATGTCTGAACCCATTTGCAGTTATTTTAGGTAACACAATAAAGTGGTCAGCAAAAACTGAGAAAACTTAGTCTGGCATTTTGTCAGCATTCCAGAAGAAATTCCTTGGGATTCACAGTCTAAGGTTTAATTTCAGTTGTCAGGATGCTGAATATTGTTTATTCCACACTAGGGCTCATTTTAATCCAAAACACTGTCAGCTAGCATCAATGCAGGCAAAATGGTATTTCTTCCTACATATAAGTTCATCTAGATATAATCCAGTTTGCTCTCCTATCTCTGAATTTGGTCTGCAAGGACACCTAGAACAGAAACTGCAGCTGACCCGGGACTCCCTTGCACTTGATCACGTGTTGGCAACCTGATCTAATTAAGCAAGTCTATTTTTCCACAAAACAAAATTGTTATAGGCAACAATATGATGCACTGAAAACTTCTCAAAAGTTGTTAAATTACGTCTAGTTTTGAAAAGGAGCTGTATCAAGCAGATACTCAGCGAGGCAGTGAAGCCTAGTGAGCAGAGTGCTGGACAGGGATTGAGAAATCTGGGTTCTTTTCCAAACTCTCCTGACTTTTAAATGACCTTGAGATGTCACTTCTCTGTGCTTCAGTTTCACTGTCTGTATGAGGAGGGTAATAATCCGCCATAATGATTTTAGATTTACTGAAGAAAAGATCTGTATCAACACTAGGTATTTCTTGCACTAGCCTGAGCTAGATGCAGCTGAGGTTAAAGACAGCCAGGATTTGGTCAATACTTTGTGTATTCCAGAAAATCTGGGAGACTTCGGTTGTTAGACTACTTGCTTTCAATTGTCTTTCAAAACACATTTCCATGTTAAAGGTCTTTCTTATCTTTCAGGCCATTACAAAATAACTTGAGAACATTTCATATTATTTAGTTGCTGCATTAATACTCATGGTTCTTACTGATTTTACTGGGAATTGCAAAGTGCCTCTCAAGATCGTACAAATTATAACATAGGTAATGTATTTTTGACCCAAAAAAGTGTTTTGCAATATTATACTTAACATATCTGGGTTAAATTTTGATCAGTTAGTTTATATTATAAGGTATTTCAGTTGGTCTTTTAGTTTGAAACATTGTTTGAAACTAAAAAGATATGGTTTTTTAAAATTATATATTGATTTTACACATTTTGTATTAATATACAAGTACAAGCTCTGTGCACAAAAGGAACAGACTACTTTCAAAACTGTTGAATGCTTTGACCTCAAGGGCATAGAAACTGTTGACTCATTGTTTTTACTGCATATAATATTAGTCCTTTGTCACATCCAGAGAATGACATCATCTTCTTCATTGTTAGCAGCAGGTTTGAATAATAGAAAAAGTGCAGCATTAGTTGTCTGCTGTATTTGCTCTTAATAAATGAATGAATATCTGGTACCAAGATTCAATTTAGGATTTTTGAGTAACATTTAGAACAAGTTTGTGCCTAGTCCCTGCAAGGCACTTTGCTCCTGCCCACCGTCTGCAGGGCAGGCAAGCTGGCAGGAGCAGAGAGCCTGCAGAGTGAAGGTCTCTGGTGGTACTGGCTTCTCAGAAGCAATAAGGGGAGACAGAAAAGGAAGAGACAAGGTGCAGAATGAAAAAGATCTTTTCTTCAAGGTCATTTCAGTAAAAGGAACC